CTGATTTCCTAAAACTGAGCCCTAGGTATGCATTTTCCTGTGAGACAGCAAGGTGTTGAGAGGAGATAATGCATCACCCTTGGTCCAAGAGTCCTTCCAGCCAGCACCCACTACAACTGAGAGGAGTCCACTGTGGATCTTGGGGCTATGGGTGTTGGCTTTGAATGTGCTGGCATTGAGACATTTGAAACAATGAGATGTTCCTTTTCTTTTTTCCTATCCATCAGAACCCTGAAAGTTTCAAGATTGGGAAAAGAAGGGTGGCATGGTGACTAAAATCCTTAAACACAGCACTCAAAAGGCCACATCAGGAGAATTATTATGAGCTTGAGGCCAGCCTGAGTTACAGTGACTCAACCAAACAGAAGAAAATGACAAAGATTAAGGAAAGTTGCTGTTGTGGGTAGATATGTTGTATCCCCAGAGGGTCTTATGCTGGAACACATGTGTGATGGGGAATGTTCTTCTGTATATGTTTCTTTTAATTGTTGATGAATAAAACACTGATTGGCTGATTAGCCAGACAGGAAGTGACGTAGTTGGGAAGAATCAGAATTTAAGCAGGGACAAACAGGAAATGGCTCTCTTCTCTGTGGAGATGCTGAGCAGTCACCATATTGCAGGGAAAGGAGGGTAAGCCAAAACCACTTGGAAATACTTAGATAAGTAGTTATGGGTTAATAATTAAGACAGAACTAGCCAATAAGAAGCCCAAGCCATAGGCCAACAGTATTATAATTAATGTAAGTTTCTGAGTGTTCATTTGGGGCTGATGCAGCTGTGGGACCAGGCTGGCAGGAAGAATGCTCATAACACGTGTCACTTGTGGCAGAAGAGAGGTGGTAGAAACTTGAAGAGATGGAGACTGGAAGAAGGTGTATTCATCCTGGGGACTCCTCTCTCATGAATAATGGGGTCTCATTGGTCTGATAAGAGAGGATTCTGTTCCTAGGAGAACTGGTTGTACATGGTGAGTGTTTTGGTTAGGGTTTCCATTGCTGTGAAGAGACACTATGAACACTATTGTGGGATAATCTTTTGTACACAGTGAAGATATGTCTTTGCCAAGGTGCCTTCTGATGGGTTTAATAAAGAGCTGAATGGTCAATAGCTAGTCAGGAGAGGATAGGTAGGATTTCTGGGAAGAGAGAAGAGTAGAGGGAATCTACCTGCCTGAATTTTGCCAATGGACTCAGAGCAAGTCAGACTTGCTGTACTGAGGGAAGGTAACCAAACCATGTGGCAGAACACAGATTTAAAATGTGTGTCAATTAAGTCCTAAGTGCTAGTTTAAAACAAGCCTAAGCTAAAAGCCAAGTTTTCATAATTAATAATAAGTCTTCGTGTTGTTATTTGTGACTAGAAGCCCAAAAGAAAGTCCTACTACAAACCACAGAAACTCTTCCAAAGGACAATACTTAATTGAAGTGGCAGCTTACAGTTCAGGAGTTCAGCCCATTATCATCATGATGAGGAGTCTGGCAGTGTGCGGGCAGACATAGTGCTAGCTATATCGTGATCAGAAGGCAACAGGAAGTGGACTAAAACACTTGGCAGTATCTTGAAAATATATGAGACCTCAAAGCTGGTCTCCACAGTGACACACTTCCTCCAACAAGGCTACAACTACTCCAACAAAACCACGCCTCCTAAGAGTGCCACTCCCTTTGAGCTTATGGGAGCCAATTACATTTAAACTGCTGCAGTGAGGATGGTCCCTGCATAGTCTCTTACTTCCTTGCTCACACATGTGCATGTGCTCCCGTTAGCACCCATCCAGTTCCCTTCCTATTTTTCCATTACACTGTGATGTGGCTAAGGTACCTTCACCAGGGTGCCACTGACCATCAGATCCATGAGCCAAACCAACCTCCTTTAAGTTACCTATTCCCAGGTAATAGCAATACAAAGGGAACCGGGGTACAGTGGGACCCCTGTGTGGCTTATCAAAGATGAGACATCCCACTTCTGGAAGAAGTACCATCTCAGCATGGCCTCTCGGTGAATCAAATGAAGGGAATCAGTGGCTACTTCCTGAAGACGCTCAAAAGAAATACCACCATTTACCCACTGAAGTTTGCAAACATCTTGGAATGGGTTCTTCCATCATTCTACACATTCCACTCATCTGTAAGGCCAGGGAAGCCTAACTAAGGAGCACATAAAAGGGCTGGCAGGAAGTTGGGTTAGCTCTTTAGAAAGAAACACATTAACTAGATGTCCTCAGATAGTCATGAAACAGGAAAATTGATTCCCAAGGGAGACACTATTGTTCTCTTGATGAGGTAAGATCTATGATGCACAGTGCTTTTGGATACCCTCTTTTTCTCACCTGTTCTTAGGGTCTTAGGTTATTTAACAAAGTTAATATACACCAGTGAAATCTACCATAAAACTGAACTTTGATGATGTCTTTCCAGAAGAAACTTTGCCAACTTTCCATATGGAGGCTGGATCTGAGAACCAAGCAGTCTGCAACAGTCCCCTAATCCCCACTGTCCACTGGGGACAGTCCTTCTCATTCTTGAAGCAGCCTGGCCTACTTTAAGCTACCCTGACCCCACAGGGACTGTGCCACCGACTTTCCTCAACCCTTGATTTTGTTGTTGGTTTCTTCTTCATTATTGTGCCTCCTTACAAATTTCCTTTTCTTCTTAGTTTCTACTTTGTAGCTCACTTTTTCTTACCAGTCTAAAAATGTTAACCTCAGCTCAATGAAATGGAAAAGCTTTCATGTTTATATTTTTCTACTGCATTTTACACTTCTTTTCTAACTAAGGAAACATCCATCTTCTAAAGAAATTTCAGTCTTTGGACTTTAGAGGCTCCCACATTCCCAAGGATTTCTCAATAACTCTTTGTCCATATCGGTAGATTCTGAGCATTGCTTTGATTTAGAATAGTTTTCAGTGACGTGGAGAATTGTACAGTCTTAGGAAGAGTGAGCAAAAGTGGGGAAACAGCACACTTAGCTCAAAACAGAGTCTCTGAAATAAATAATTCTTACTGAATTTGTGTATTCCAGTTATGATTTTTAAGTCTGAGTTCCAAGATTTCCCCATTAAGACTTTTAGCATAAGTCAAGTTTCATGAATATGTAATGGATTTCAGTTTACATTAGTTCTGCCATTAAATAAAACATTATCTCAAAAGAAAACTTCACTTATGATCCCCAGAAGAAGCCATTAAAGCGAAACACAGAGTTCTTGCAGCTTTTACTTTTCTTCATGTTGACTAATGTCTTCATCAATGATGGTCATGGGCACAAGGAGTTGAGGGGCACCCCTCCATCATGTATCATCTGGTACATAAAACCATCTAAGTAGAAAAGGAAATTTTAAAATGCTGCTTTCTGGTACTATTCAATTTGTAAACATCCAGAGTTAAGGAACAGAAAACATTCTGGTTTTCAGAATAAAATTAAAACCTATTCATCATTCTTTTAGGAAATGAAAATTATAAAGACATAATACAAAAGTATGAAACCTATACTTCAGGTGCAATGCCCAAAGCTGACCAAAGCAGTGATGATTTCTGACAGCTACACAGGAGTCCTGTAGGTAAACCCACCCCAAATACAATTATAGTCCAGTATAAATCTAAGTGTCCTCAGCTGTTGTCCTTGTTTCTTCCTTGTTCTCTTGACAGGTATATGCATCAACCCCAGATTCCAGTTCAGCCATTAGGAAAAACTCAGACCTTTGCAAAAGACTCTGTTTCTGGTTTTGTATCAGAAAGACATGTTAAGAATCCCTTGAGTGCCCCTACCTCCAGCTGCTTGAATCCTCTAACCCTGACCAAACAGGACCCCCCCCCCACTTCACACTGGTCATAAATTAGGGTACTCATCCCACTACAGCTTGGTTTTACAGATCTCAAAACAATATTCAATTTTTTCAAGTTGTAATGATTATATTGCACACATAGCTAAAAGATAGCACACCCAGAGGCAATTCGAACCTTTCACCTTGCGAACAGAGGAGCCTCATTCCGCTCTACCCTGGGAAGGTTGAGTCCAGGTGAGAGGATCAGGAGAACTGCTCATTTCCAAGGAAACAAAATCTTTAAAGTTTAGTGTAAGAAATAAATCCAACCAAGATTCAAGGGCCTTCATCTCAGTGAAATTCTTAGGAGTCCAGTGGTGTGCGACATGCAGAAATATTCCTTCTAAGGTGAAGAGTAAGTTATTGCACCTGGCCCCTCCCACTACCAAGAAAGAAGCACTTTGTTTAGTGGTCCCATTTGTATTCCAAAGACAGCACATTCCTCACTTGGGTGTGTCACTCTGGCACAGAAACCAAGTGACTTGGAAATCTGCTAGCTTCAAGTGGGAACTGGAACAAGCAAAGGTTCTTCAACAGGTCTAGGTGGCTGAATAAGGCATTCTGCCTGCCTGCCTGCCTGGCTGGCTGTCTGGCTATCTGTCTGTCTGTGTGTACCTGTACCATGTGCTTATTAGAATCTTACAAACTGTTGCTTTTCAGTGAATGGGTTCTGGTTTGGGCAAAGGAACCCATTTAGAGTATACTGACAAAAATAACAGAGACATGGGGAATGAGAAAAATATCTGAGTGTCTTAAGATAAAATTTAATGGTTTTGTTTCCTTGGAGAAAAGCAGTCCTTCTGCTCTTGATCTCAAGATCCAACAGACTTTGTGCTTGAGGTGGCAGTGGCAGGTAGGGATGCTTTTGGAGCCCTTAGCCAGCACCTGTGGTTAAGTCACAGAAGATAACTTGGAGATTTTGGAGCAAGACATCTGTAGACAACTATTCTCCCATTGAGAGACAGCTTTTCGCCTGACATTGGACCTTAGTAGAAACTGGACATTTGACAGAGGGACACCACATGGCCAGTGAGACACCACATGGCCATCACGAGCAACTCATCATGAGCTTATAGTAAGACATGCACAGCAGCAATCCATCATCAAATGTTCATGAAGGCACAAGCAAGTTACACACACACACACACACACACACACACACACACAAAAGTTGTTTCTATCCCTGTTACAATGCTGTCTGCTGCCAAGCATACACCTATACCCTCACGGGTATGCCCTATGGTAAGGGGACTAAGGAAGAGAATATTAGAGACTGCTTTACTGGTGATTCTGTAGGCTATGCAGGCACCATCAAGAAATGGACAGCTATAGCACTGCCATCCCTTTCAGGGACAACCCTGAACAATACCAGTGAAGAGAATCTCCACAGTGGGTAGAACTTCAAGCACTCTACATCGCCATACATTTTGTTTTTCAGGAGAAATGGCCATGTGTGTGATTGTTCAATGACTCATGGGCTGCAGCCAATGGATTTGCTGGATGATCAGGGACTTGGAAAGAGCATGATTGGAAAATTGGTGAGAAAGACCTGGGGAAGAAGTAAGTGGATAGACCTCTCCAAATGGATGATGGATGTGAAGATACTTGTGTCCCTGTAAATGCTCATCAAAAGGTGACTTCAGCTGAAGAGGAGTTTAACAATCAAGTAGATATGATGACCCATTCTGTGGACAGTCAGACTCTTTTCCTAACCATTATGTCTCTGCCCCATGGGCCCATGAACAAAGTAGCCATGGTGGCAGAGTTGGGGATTATACTTGGGCCTGACAACATGGACTGCTACTCACCAAGGCTGATCTGGCTACAGCTGCTGCTGAGTGCCAGATCTGCCAACAGCAGAGACCAACACTGAACCCCAGACATGGCATCACTCCCCAGGGTGACCAGCTAGCAACCTAGTGGCAGGTTGGACCACTTCTTCCATGGAAAGGACAGCACTTTTTCCTACTGAAGTAGATACTTATTTGGGTTATAGATTTACCTTATTTTTCTGCCCAAACCACCATCCATGGACTCACAGAATGCCTTAGCCACCTTCATGGTGTTGCTTCTGACCAAGGAACTCATGTCACAGCCAGGTAAGTGTGACAGCGGGCCCATGACCATGGAATCCACTGGTTTTAACATGTTCCCCATCATCCTGAAGCAGCTAGCCTGATAGAAAGATGGAATGGCTGTTTGAAGACACAATTACAGCGCCAATTAGGTGGCAGCAGCCTAGAACTCTGGGGCAGGGATACTTAAAAGGCAGTATATCCTTTGGATCAGCATCCACTATATGATACAGTTTCTCCCATAACCAGGATCCATGAGTCCTGGAATCCAGGGGAGGAAATAGAAATATCTCCCCACCCCGTGACCCAGTAGGAAAAATTTTGCTTCCTGTTCCCATGACCTTAAGTTCTTCTGGCCTAGAAGTTTTGTTTCAGAAGGTAAATCACTCCTGCTAGTACACACAACAAACCTATTGGAGTAAAAGCTCAGACCTCCCACGACCATGTTGGGCTTCAGATATCCTTAAGCCAACAGGTTAAGAAACGAATAACAGTTTTAGGACCGGTGATTGATCCAGATTATCATGGGGAAACTGGATTGCTTCAAGAAAGATCATGACTGGAGTGCAGGAAATCCTTTAGGGCATCTCTTGAATCTACCATGTCCTGTGATTAAAGTCAATGGGAAACTATAACAGCCTAATCCAGGTGTGATGACAAAGGGCACAGACCCATCAGGAATGAAGGTATGGGTCACTCCTCCAGGAAAAGAGCCAAGACTTGCTGAGGTGCTTGCTGAGGGTGGAGGGAATACAGAATGGGTAGCAGAGGAGGGCAGATGTAAATACCAGCTAAGGCCACGTGACCACTTACAGACACGGATTATAACTGACGTGAGTATTTCTGTAATGTTTTGTTAAGAATGTATTTGTACAGACTTTTGTGCTTTCTTTCCTTGATTTCTGTATCATGTAATGTAACTTCAATTAGGAGTGCTTACCATATTTAAGCTTGAGATACTAAAAGAATGTCCCTCAAGGGACATTGCTGCCTAATCTAAATTTATAATGTATTTGTGATTTATGAGGGACAGTTATATAATGTTAGGCATAATTATGACCCAGTTATTATTTTCATCTGGAAATTAATCATGATATATGTAAGGAGATATGATTGTGTGTCAAGTTAACAAGAGGTGGACATCTGATGGCTACTTTTGGTTGGCAACTTCACTGTATCTGGAATTAACTAAAACTCAAATGGCTGGGCACACCTAGGAGGAATATTGTTAATTGAATCATTTGAAATAGGAAGTTGCACCTTCAATCCAGATCTCTAGAGGTGGGAAGATCCACGTTAAATCTGGCTGACAACCTCTAGAAAAACATGGAGAAAGAAGCTGGCTCTCTCTTTGCCTGCTTGCTCTGGCTCTCACTAGCAAGTCCATTTATTCCCTCACAGAGCCTACTTCTGCAGGATTCCAGTGTATATTGAAGACCGGCTGAGAAATCCAGCCTGATAGATTTGAACAATTATCTGATTCTTGGACCTTCCATTGGTAGACAGCCATTGTCATACTAGCTGGACCACAGCCTATAAGTGATGCTAAGAAATTCCCTTTATATAGAGAGAAATATTCATTCTGTAGGTTCTGATCCTCTAGAGAACCTTAAATAATATATCTTCTAGGCTTCTGCCAAATGGGAATTATAGTTTTGTTTCAGATATTTGGTTTTAGAGAAATAATTAATGTTTTCCATTATAGCTATGTTTAATTATATATGCCTCAAGGAGATAACCAGTTGCCTCTAAAAGTTCATTGTAAACTATGTTGACATTTTAATAAGGTGTGATACTCTGCATGGGGACGCCACAAAGCCCAGAGATGTCTGAGTTAATTTGTCAATGTTGGATTTCAAGTACTGGCTGCAGGCTCTTTTGGCATATGCAAAATCATACTCCCTTTACAAGAACGAACTAAAGCCAAATGGCTTTAGTTCCTAGAACAATGTCCTAGAACATTTAGATCCTAGAACATTATCAAGTTTACTAATTTTAATATTTGTACTTACTCTCACCAGCCTTATTGCAGGTAAATTTCCTGAGTTAGTGGATGAATAATTACTTGTAACCTTCCATCAGAATATAATTGTCCCGAATATAAAAATGTAAGAATGGATAATGAGAAAAACATAACTAGAAAACTTTATCTAGTTTCTGGGAAACAAAGTGTTTATACCACAGTATTATACCACAGAGGTGATTTTATTCTTTTCCTGAAATATAATATAGAGCATGAAATTATTCATAAAATAAACTGAGCCATCATTTGTCAATCCTCTCAGACATTTAAAATATTTAACTCATTTACTGAGTATATCCACTGAGAGAGAGGAAAAAATATACATTCCATTGTAATATTCAACATCATTTTTTTCATTTACTTTTACTGGAGCAAACACATTAAAATCCCATTTTAGCAAAGGCCAAACCACAATTATACATCTAGGGGAAGAAACTTCGGTTGGCTTGTGTAATTTACAGATACTTTAGTGCATGAGAGTGAACCATGTGAGAAAGGCTAAAGCCCCTCCTGGTTTGTAAATTAAGATTTCTTTAAAATGTTTGTCCACCGAAAGAAGACCCAGATGTCAGAGAATGATACCAAAGCCAAGAAATTCCCTCAAGGGGACAGAGGACCTGTGGACACCCAAGAGAGGATGATTAGAAAGCTCATGGCAGACTGCTAGGAAAGCTTCCAGTTTTTGCTGGAGGTTGTAGCAGCTTTGCTGTCTGAAGGTTTGGCCCAGTTTGGCTGGCAGAAGTCTTGATTAAGGGGAGGCTGGAGGCGTGAAGACCCTGACCAGTGCAGGTAGCTGAGTCACTTTCCAGAGCTACTGCTCTGCTGCTCATCTGTGCAGTAACAGGTGGTGGCCAGGGCCTTGTGCCCGTTAGCCTCTGCCTGTACTATGAGACCACACTTAGTTAAGAGACAGAAGTGGACAGAGACTTCTTTAGGAATGATAGCAAGCTGTCTGAGAAATAAGCCTTTAGAAATTAAAATGGGGCCTCCATGTCTCTGTCTCTTCAGATACATCACAAACATGCCCCAGGCAGACCTTCCCTCCATCCCATAGATTTTGTTCATACTTCAAGAAGGGTACATGGAACTAACACTTGTGCCCTCTCTTGCCTTTCCTAGCAAACCTTAGGTTTCTTAAGGAATCACTGATCTATAATCCATCATCTCCCTGGAACCTGAAAAAGAATCTTGCCCACAACAATTGCTTGCTACGTACTGAATGGACAGTCAAGTAAAAGAATTATTTTAACAGTTCTCTTAGGGTAGATGCCTCACTATTCTTCTTTGTATATGCAGGATTTTTACACTAGCAGGAGCTTGGAATTGCTCACAGGTCCAAAAGAGCCAAGCCAGACTGAATTTAAACACTAGGTGATCTATGAAGCTTGACCAGATTACATCTGCATGTTTCCTCATATGTAAAATGAGGGTAATGGTAAATCAGCCAGGTAACACAGGCAATAGGGACTTAGGCATACATAATGCCAAATACAGAAAGAGTCACTTAAATCTATATAGCACAGACTGCAAGCCTGATCCTAATTAATTCTTTATATTTGCGTGACTTTGTATTTTATTTTATTTTTTTGTTTTTTGTTATTTTATTTTTAAGGTCTAAAGTTTCATGAAAGAAAGCTACAAAAAAAAAAAGTAATCATCACTACCAACAACAACAACAACAACAAAAACCCTGTACATCTAGTGAATTGGCCATGGAACATTGGTATGGAATGAATCACCATTAAATCAAGGGATGAAATTAGCATAAGTGAACATTTATTGACTGCATCCCTAGATGTTCAGTTAGCTGACTCCACTCTTCACCGGACCACTGTACATTGCCTTTCCCCCAGCTCTCCAAATCCTTTCAGTGATGCAGTAAAGTAGTGTGGTGTCATATCCCAACTGAAATTTACCATTTTTTTTGTTCAAGAGACAATTCAAGGTTCCTATAATTTCAGAGCATCATAATATTCTTGTGCCTGACATAATATTCTTTTGGCTCTCATTTTTAATAACTGAAACAACAGAAACCTAACCTTTAGTCATCTGGCCCAAGCAAATATTTTGTGAAGAAGTCTTCAACAAGCAGCTGGATCTCGCCAGCCTTGGGTCTAGATCTGCTGTAACCAGGTGGGATCAACCTCTGTGAGCGGCGCTGTCTTTCTTTATAAAGTAAACAATAGCCCCGCTGCTTGTAAGTCACATAGCTTTCATGCCGATCGATCAGATGATACCATGCCTCTCCAATGGTTTCAGAAATCGAAAAGCAGCTGTCGGTATAGTTACCACCTCCCTCTTTGAAAGGTCTCGCTTTTAAAACACGGATATAAACACATGCTTTCATGGTGTGCTTTGGAGGAAGCTTTTCTCAATTAGAGCAAAGATCAATCATTTCTCCCAGTAATCTGTCATGATTGCACTGATTTACCAAGTGAGGAAAGTGGGACACAGAAACACCCTCTATTATTCTGATGGCTGCAGTGTAGGATGGGCGCCTCGAGCCTCCTGGGCATTGCCACATCACTGAATCGGGAGACGCTTCTTTCTGCTTCACCTGTAGAAACATAGGTCGAACAGGGATAGGCCAGTCCAGATATGTCGCCTTGGTTCTCAGAATCAAGTCCCTTGAATATTCAAACTGAATACATGTAGGTTAGCAAAAAAAGAAAACTAATATCAAAGATCTGAAACTCTCCCCCGCTTCCGCCTTGAGGGCAGGCTCTCTCCAGAGGATGTGTGTGGAACACACAGACCTTACGAAAGAGGAATTCTGAGTGCCTCTTCCTAACATCTCAGCCATAATTGAACTGTGCTGGTGAGTCCCGGAAAGCCTGTATTGTCTGTCATGAACAAAAACAGAATCGGCTGAAGCACAGGACAAAATGCCAGCCGCTCCCTTCTAGCATGCATGGTCATTAACCAGTGTCTCAGTCTGAATGTGCCTCCCACTAGTGGACACACCAGTGTTTCCAGCATTAATAGGGTGTCTGTTGCTACCTTTGAATATCACCAGGGACGAGTAATTAATGTATTGACTGATTAATGGTTTATAATCAACTTTGTTGTCAGAGCTAATCGTTCAATCATGTTTAATGAGACTCTTTGTCTTCATTAGGGTCATTAGAATTGTTAATAAATAAAATGTGGTTGTAGTAGTTCACACAATTTGCACCTCATAATGCAGACCTAAAGCAAGTCAACATTGCCCTGAAAAAAACACCTGGAAAAGAACTGAAAAGTAAAAGAGTTAATTCAACAAATTTGTATTTTTCCATGGAGTTTAAAATCACTGAACTCCATTAGGGTTAAGCAAGATAGTCCTTAGGGCTAGCGGATGGAAGTACTGGAATTCTCATTTGTATTTCCTTTCTATCTAAATGTAAGAAAGAACTTACTCTGAACACAGGAAGAAACAGAGATAAGTGCCCTCCATCAAAGGCCCCGCCTACTCCAGAGGGGGTCTTCCCAGATCAGCCAAAACTTTCTGGAAAACCCTTGTAAACACACTGAGAGGTATGTTTCCATGATTATTCTAAATCCAGTCAAGATGACAATAAAGTTATCCAACACAGAGAGGATTGGGGGCTTATGGTTTAATGAGTAGTTCTGTTTGGGTGACATACACTTTCTAGAGAGGGGAATAGTGATGCTTATACGACAGTGTAGACGTACCCAACACCGCTGATATGAACATACAGAATCAAATTAAAAGGAAAATACTTGTGCTTTATATTATTCACTTGGAAGAAATGGATCTGTGTCTTTTATTTTCATCATATGCTCTTTCCCACTCTCCGTGGAGCAGACAGAGAAGAAGGGAAATGTTGACTCTTC